ACCACGCCCCATTATGTTTTTGATACAAAGTTGACTATGCCGAGTTACTGCATGGTGAAAGACAAGAATAGTTAGGCGCTACTTTGGCGCACAGTTGCAACTTGTTTATGTGCACAGTGGAGTGCATGTTTAAATTTAAAATAATTCATGATCGAATTCAGGCTATTTGAATGTATCCTGCATACAACCTAAGGTATAGCACTAGATGCTTGCTGCAAATGTCTGCTGTGAATCAAGGCTACTAAGATTGCATTTCATCTCCTAAATAGATGCGTTATTTTTATGCTACAAATTCGACAATCTCGAAATATATTTCTAGTTGAATTTTACCAAACATACTAATTAGCAGTGTTGAGGAAGGCCTATTATTTGTTTTAGTAAAAAGCGAAAGAAAATACAAAATATTTGGTACTCACCGTTTGGTGCCACTGTAGCCACCAAATGATAAATTCATCAAACCGGAAGTAAAATCAAAGCACTTTTAGTTAATGCTGGGCAAATGCTCCTGCGAGCATACGAAAACATGAACCATTAAATGTAATCAATGAATACGAAGATACTATAACTACCAAGCAACTCCAAAAACATTCCTCAATATGCACTTTGTATTTATTCAACCTCATCAAAAAGTGCTGTGTAAGATGGTGACAGAAAAATTTGCTTGACTTTGAAGATACGCAAATACGAAGACCATCAAAAAGAAACAAATACAAGCTAAATGCGTTTGAAATATCAGGAGCCGTAACAGATGAAGGACTGAAATATATTGAAACAGCAGCATCCATGATGGTTAATTTGCAGTCATCTGCGTCGGACGCAGGTTCGTATACTTTTGGTGTCCCATCACGGTCCACACGTGTCCAGCGCTCATCTGCACTACTTCAGAATAGTCATCTGCAGAGTAAACTAGTGTGCAGTCTTGCACTGTCGACATCTCCTGCTCTAATTTGCGACTCTCCATTTTCGACGGTTGGAATAAATTTCGCTCGCCTAAGGAAGGTAAATCAAACAATTTGAATTGTTTAAACAGGCGTTATTTCTATGTTGCAAATTAATTAATTAATTAAATTAAATTAA